GGCCAGGAGCGTTCTCGCTCTCATAGCATGTCAAGAAACGCTAGTATAAAGTTAGAAACAGAAAGTGGAGTTGCACTAGCAGCAGATAGGATACATATAGCAAACCCTAATTTGGGCTGTACTCACTATAGAGTACCCCATTGCATACTAGACAATTATAGCATTATGACAGATGCTAGCGTACTGATTTACTACATCAAATTGTTCACGTGATATCGAGTAATGTGTTCCAATTGGTAAAGAACATTGTTAGTATTAATGCTTGTATAAGGTCATCGTAAAATATTCAAGAATAATATCATTGTCGGTAGTTCCATGGGTCGTGCATTGAGGTGGTATCAAGAAGGATGGTTCAGATTTATATTCAGTGAACGAAAAAAAAAACATTCTTTATCTTTGTATATTTATATGGCAAGGTTGTTTTTGTTGAGAATATAGAAGCTACGATTGTTTTTTCACAACTGCTTGAATATTTAATTCCCGCTCACAGTCCCTGAAGTATAGGATGTTTTATGTAACCTACTTTGCAAAACATTGTTTGGGAATCTTCCTTTTTTTTTGTAGGCGAAAGTGCATTATACAACGTACAACGCAAAAACACCGTCGGTCGTAACCGTGCTAGAGAGCCTATGTATAGCATACTGTACCCTCACGGATGCCTCTACGGTGGTTTTTTAAACAAGATGCCTAAAAATTCCAATATGCCAGCTCAACATTCCGATTGCGCCCTTGGCACAATTCAGATCCATAAGAAGCACACGGGTGCAATTGTGCCACTTGGGTTGCTTCGGGCTTGTTCGAAATCTGGACCTGTCCATCCTTCGACATCCCACATTACTCTTGATGAGAAGAACCTTCCGGCGAGATATGGAAGCACTCATGAAAGCGATATTGGAAGTGGTTGCAGCGGTTGTCACTTGTTTTGAGTGCGGTGAAGAGCGGTTTCAACATCCATTGCTCCCAATGTTTCCAGCAGAATCTGGCGGGGGAGAGTTGCAACAGACGCAATTGCTATCTATGTTCTAATACCAGCTTGAGGGAACGCCTTCATGGAAATCGTTGATCGTTTCTTCTGACTGCATCTTCTTCCGAGTGCTTCGCTGACGCCATAGATCAATATCTTCCAGCTGCATATGCGCGTCTTGTAGCTTCCTAGTGTCAGCATCGTTCATATCAGTGTCAGCGTCAGCGTTAGATTCTTCATCTTGAATCTTTAAAAGAAAATATTCGCATCCAATCATTGCAGTAGGAATGTAGTCACCGTTTTCAAAAACTTCAATATCCATGTTAAAAGTAGTAGTTTCCTTAAAAATCTGCCTCTGGTCCAGACTTTGCAGTTTGGGAATCTTCCATGTTCGATAAGAAGGGGTTATATTTGCTCCACAATGGTCGCAGTAACCTTTCCAAACATAGTAATTTTATTGATGAGCACTACATATTCAAGCTTAATTGTGCCTTTGCATGAAGGGCAGCGTATATAGCAAGACTATGTTCTGAATTCTGTGTACACATGTATTTGTCAACGGTGGCGTTCATACGCACACTGCAGTGCGAGTGTGAACGTGACAACACAACTCGGATGCCCCAAAACAAATCATTAGCTGTGCTCCCATCCGTTGTCAGGCGATCTGCTTCTGTTCATTGAAGATTTCCGTTGTGGTTGTCATTGCCCGTTGAAATGCGGTGAGGCAAACGAATGGACAGACTTCGCTCAAAGATTCTTCTCGGTCAGGTTAGCCATCCGCTACCATTCACGAGCAAGGTCTGAATGTTGATGCCTTCACAGCCGCACAGGTTCAGAGCAGTGCTGCCGGGCTCTCGTGTGTCGAAATGATTGCATCGAGAGGGAAGAAAGGACACGGGCAACTCCAGCAATTTGGGAAATGAGGGGACGTATCTGAAGGCTAATCGTGACCGTCCATGAGACCTGGAGATTCAGGTTCACTTGTCGGTACCCCTTCAAATCAAACCCTATTCTGGCTTGCATGGTCCTTTTTCGTTCTTGCTCATTCCAGTCTCCAGAGCAACCTTGAAATTGCCGACGGTGAACGAAACGAACAACGGTAGCCATGTCTTCGGCTGACTGAAAAGGGTGTCTGTTTGTGTGTCTGGTTTCTGTCTGGTCATGGAATCAGGGTCATTCTCCTCCACGCACTAAACTGGACCACCCTGAGTCCAGGATGATGGTGCACAGTTGCAGTCAGACCAGCGATGAAAGCCTGTCGTAACCCTAACTCAACGATCTTGAAAGCTCGCCCTTATTGCCTACGTTTAGAACGACCAATTAGGAAGGTTTCTGGAGTGACATAGCTTGACCCAGCGTTCTCAAAGCTAAGGGATATGTTCTATCGTGCCTGATTGTTCTGCATTACGCGTTCGTGTAGAGTAATGATGAATAGCGTAGGAGCATCTGTAAGCCAGTCGACGTCGCAGGACGACAGCCAGAAGAAGATTCGGAAGCCGTACACCATCACCAAGTCTAGGGAGAGCTGGACGGAACAGGAGCATGACAAATTCCTAGAAGCCTTGCAGCTGTATGTCCTAATATAGTACCTAACGAGTACAACGTCCTTCTTCTATCTTGATTATTACAATTTTCAGCAATTTCCCTCGATGCTCAGTTACTTAGTATTTTCGGTATGGTTCCGTGTGCGTCCACAGATTTGACCGGGACTGGAAGAAGATAGAATCGTTTGTTGGGACCAAATCGGTGATTCAGGTTGGTGCTAGAGTTCGTGAGCTATATTTCCACCCTTTTTTCATACCGTTCCAATAATCTCCGCTAGGATAGCTTTACGTCAATATTCCTCACCGTCGCCTACAATCTCCATCAGCACGTCGTCAGCGATTGCAATTGCGAATTGCGACCTGATACGCCATGGCTGCACAGAATAATCCGATATCGAAGTGGTCCTAACGAAATTCTCTGTTCTGCAGATTAGGAGCCATGCTCAGAAGTACTTTCTCAAGGTTCAGAAGAACGGCACGGGAGAGCACGTACCCCCGCCGAGGCCGAAACGGAAATCCACGCAGCCGTACCCTCAGAAGGCCAGCAGCTCAAAATCAGGAGGTAATTTCCGTTACAGCTTCACCTTGAGCCAGTTGTGACAATAGCCGGAGGTGATTTTCGTGTCAATCACCGCTGTACCCTGAGAAGGACAGCAGCTCAAAACCAGGAGGTATTTCGCGTCGCAGCTTCACCTCTAGCCGGTTGCGCTGGTCCTAGATGCTCTCTTCTTTCCACCAGGAAGTTTGCATCGTTTCGCCGTACTTTCAAGAAATTTCGAAATCATTCTCGTTACATTTTTGTGGCTCCTTGTCACGCCCTTCTAAAACCGGTATCAACCGTCACCCTCCAACAAAAACATAACCTGCCGAGTTGTCTTCTTTGAAGCACTCCCTCCCACCTTTCGTCCTGCTTTTTCTTCCCAAATTCACCCACCTACATCCCTGCTCTCTTATCCCCACTCCTCGCTCCTCCCCCGCATCTCAATTCCATCTTCCGTCGTCCCCACTGACCCAATCCCCCCCCTTCCACGTCTCCTCCGCGGTACCACACCCCGCAGGATGCGGCGACGCAGGGCCCAATTTTCCAGGCGCGGGGATGGCGGGTCCGCTCCCGTCGCCGTTCCCGCCGGGAGCGCTGATCCCCTCCGCTTCCGCCGCGAGCCTAGCTTCACCGTCCTCCTCCACGCCGTCCGCCATGGCCGCAATGAGCATGTCCGGCCTGGGCCACGGGCTCGGCGGGTCCGTAGGCGCGTCGCTGGCGTCCCTGGGAGTGTCGGGGAGTCACGGCGACGCGGCGGCGGGGGGCGCGGGGATGGCAGGATTGGCGGGGATGGGTGCGGTGGCGGGGATGGGGGGCATGGCGGGGATGGCTGGAATGGGGGGAATGGGGGGGATCACGGGGATGACGGGGATGGCGGGAATGACGGCTATGGCGGGGATGGCGGGGACGAGTGGGTGGATGCACCACGGCATGCATCCGCCGGGAGCCGTTTCGCTTGCTACCCGAGGTGCGTTAGTGTGGCGGTGCCGGTGGCGGTGTCGGAAGGGGAGCGGGGGCGGAGGCGGAAGGGGGAGCGGTCGTTGTGGTTCTTGTTGTTACGATCGGAAGTGTTCGTTGCCAGTCGGTCATGACTGTCGTTCGTCGGGCTGTCCCGTGCCAAGGTGTAGCAGCACATTTCATTTCTACCTTGCGGGTACAAATTGTTATTTATCGTCAGCTTTTTAGATTTCTCAAAAATGATCGTGGGAGAGGTTTGCTTCTTTCTTCAACTTCGCTGATCTGCTTCTTTCGTGCGCCCATCCGTGCGGGTCCAGGCGGCGGAGCGGCGAACATGGGGGCCATGGCGGAGGGGCTGATGGCGGGGGCGTCGCAAATGGGCGGCGGCACCAGTGCGGCGGGGGCCATGTGGATGGCGCAAGCCCAGGTGCGCTCCCCCGGTGTATACGCATCCTCGCTGTCCAGATTCCGCGCGCACGCAGCTTTTCCCGATGCTGGATTCCGCGGTGCATTCCCGTTGCGCTAAATCCGCGCGAACTCTGCTTCCCACTGCGCCCATTCCGCGCGCATGCACCGTCCCCCCGATCCCAAGCTCGCGGTCATCGAAAGCTCATAAAATCGCACATCAGCCCGTGCCTACCTTGCCGCCTCTTAATTTCTTCCAGTCCGTGGACTCGCTTCGGCACTCATTTGCTCCCAAGTTTTTGACTCATTTGCTCATCAGTGCTCGTCAGCAAGTGTCGCATCTTATATTCTAGTCCCTTGTTCGCCCTCTCCTGTCCCCTCCCGTGCGCCAACAAAGCAGCGACAACAGTCGACGGGGAACGCGAGCGAGCAGAGAGTTCGAGGTAAGGACGGCTGACGGCCTGCCCTGCCTTCCATGTAAACTATGCGTCCCTTTCTTTCCCTCGTTGTCGTTTCCCTCCCTCTCGTTCTCTCCTCTGCCCTCTTGCCTTCTTCTTGCCCACTTCCATCCCCTACCTGTCCTCCCGCAATGCCTCACAACCGCCGTTCTCGCCCTTCGTCCCTTCCGCCCTCCCTCCCTTCTTTCCGCCTTACAGCAACCCCGGATTTCGCGGAGGTGTATCGGTTCATAGGGCTCGTGTTCGACCCGTCCACGTCGGGCCACCTCGCGCACCTCAAGGCCATGGCGCCCATCGACCGCGAAACCGTGAGTCGCGCCGCGCATAGCTCGTTGTAGACACCGCGAAACCGTGAGCTCTTCCGCGCTAGCCTTACCGTGGCGCCCTTTTTGTTCACGAAGGGTTTAGACGCAAGGAAACACCCTACTACACATTGACCAAAGCACTACTCGCCGCCACCCATCGACTGTTGACACGGCGAAACCGTGAGTTTGTTCCCAGACGTCACAAGTGGGTCGCGGTCACAAGCATGCCCGTGCGCCTCTTTTCTCTCAACGTGTCCCTTCCAATCTCCATCCGTACGTCTGACTGTTCCGCGTTTCTCCCCCGCGTCCGCGTCTCCCGCGCCAGGTGCTCCTGCTCATGCGAAATCTCTCCATGAATCTCGCCAATCCTGAATTTCAGCAGCATGTAAGCCCTCTCATCCCACTAGTTCCGTTCCCCTTCCTGTTTTTATGAAACTCGCCATCCCCGAGTTCCAGCAGCATGCAAGCTCTTTCCTCTTACTAGTCGCGCTTCCCTTCGCCCGTCCATGAATGTCGCGAGCCCAGAATGAAAGCGGCATGTAAGATTTGTTATCCCATTATTTCTGCTCCCCTTTTGTCCTTCGAAGAACCGTGCTGACCCCGAGTCATGTGCAAATGGCTCGGGGTCAGCATGACTGGCACGTCCGGGGCTGTCCCCGAAACCTCATCTCCTAGACTTGGCTCGTGCTGCTTCACATGGGCATGTGCGCGCACCAGCCTTCCTCTTGCCCGTTCCCCCTCCGCCTTGCCCGTTCAATTGGTGCCTTTCCTTGCCCGTTGCCGTCGTTCCTACCGCAAGGCTTGTGCGTGGACTCGGATGCCATGCCACGCGCGCTTTCGCTGCACCACCAGCCTTCATCTCGCTCGTTCTCTTGTTCCAGGACGCGTTCACGCAACTCATGTGAGGCACGGGCAGGGCAAGCACCAACGACGCCGCAGAGGTTACTCTTGAGTCGACTCGGAAATATGTTCTCAGACGTGACTTGAATGTGGTTCGCTCGTTCTCTTGCCCCAGGACGCGTTCATGCAACTCATGCGAGGCACGGGCGGCAGCGACGCCTCGGCCCCACCAGACGCACCACCAGACGCAGCCGCAGGCGCAGCAGCAAACACGGAAGCAGCAGGTGCTACAGCAGAAGGAGCAGCAGGAGCGGCAGCAGGAAGCCAGGAGGCAGAAATCCCCAAGTCTAAGGGAGGCGCAGCAGATGCAGCAGATGGGGTACGAGAGGTCGAGGAGAAGGCGGGCAGGCAGACACAGGCCCAGGAGCAAAGACCAGAGAATGCTGAGGGCTGTGCAAAGGCGGAAGAAGGTAGGGTGGAGGCGGGCATGGCGGAGGCGGGCAGGTTAGCAGGAAGTGGAGTGGGTGCTGATGCTGCTGCAGCAGGTGCCCAAGAGAGTGCAAAGGAACGAGCAGCAGAGGGGGATGGTGCGGTGGGAATGGAGGTGGAAGGGGGAGAGGCGAGGCCGCCAGGCGATGGACAAGAACGTGTTGACGGAGCCAGTGGGGTCAACGGGGTCAACGCAGTCAATTATATGACTGAGGCGCAGCAGTTGCATGATGCCCGGACTAACCCAGCTGGTGCGAAAGATTCAAGAGGTGCTGATGCTGGTGCTGGTGCTGCTGCTGCTGCTGCTGTTGCTGCTGAATCGCATAAGAGAGAAGCTGCTGGAGAGGCAGCAAACGATGGGGTGGAACAAAGGGGTGCGGGTGACACCTCGCAGAGGTTGCAGTCGGAAGGGGGTGTGGGAGGGGGAGGAGAAGCAGGAACGGCATGCGAAGGAGCAAGAGGGGAGGGAGGAACAGGCACCAAGGAGTCAGGAGCTGCTTCAACTGGCCCAGCGTCTTTATCTGCTGCTGCCGGTGCCAGCTCAGCCTCAGCAGCAGCAGCCGCAGTTGCAGCTGCTGCAGCAGCAGGAAGGGGAGGAGGCGCAGCCGCATCAGCATCAGCAGCAGCATCAGCGTCAACCCCGTCAGGTCTCCCAAGCCAGCCAGCTTTCTCCTCAATGCCTCGCTCCCAGTCGTCTCCTGCGCCCACCTCGCCCTCTGGCCCACACTCCGCCCTTCACTCCGCTGCCCATTCCGACCACCTGCTGGCGCACAACCACCAGGCGCTCCTCACAGCCATGCGCGGAGGCGCCAGCAGCCTAGGGGGGGACGTGCCCCGCGCCATAAGGGGAGACATGGCCAGCAGCATGCGGGGCCTTGTGCCCCGTGGGGTAGGAGGAGTTGGGGGAGAGATGCCCCTGGGCGGGGGAGATGTGGAGGAGCTTTTTATGATGTCCCACATGATGTCTGCCTGGCCGGGTTTCTCTGGATTTGATCTGCCAGAGGATGTCAAGCCAGGTACGCTGCCCCTCCCTGCGAATCTTCCTGCTAATCTCCCTGCTGGTCTGTCTGCGACTCTCCCGTCTGGGTTGTCTGTGACACCGCCGCTGCAGTACCTGCCGCAGTTTGCTGCTGCTGCTGCTGCTGCTGCCGCTGGTGGTTTGGCTGGTTCTGCGGACGCTGCTGCGTCTGGCTATTCCAGTCAGTTCTCTGCTGCTGCAAGGGCTGCTGCTGCCGCTGCTGGAACAACCGCTGGCGCCACCACTGCCGCTGCTACAACCGCGGGTGCTACAGCAGCTGGGGCTACAGCAGCTGGTGCGACAGCAGCTAGTGCCACATCCATGGCAGCAAGTGCTGGGCGTGTAGCAGGCCAAGGCGTGGCTGCTGATGCCTCAGGCTCTGTTGCTGGGAACGCTGCTGTTGCTGGGAACGCTGCTGTTGCTGGGAACGCTGCTGCTGCTGCTGCTGCTGGTAATGGCACTGCTGGTGCTGGTGCTGCTGCTGGTGCTGGGGCATGGGCCATGAACGGCACAGCTGGCCTGAGCGGCCTAAGCAGGATGACTGAGTTGACCGATTTGACCGGGCTGAATGCTATGGCTGGGTTGAATGCCTTTGGTGCCTGGCCTGCTATGGCAGGCATGGCTGGAGCAGCTGTGGTCTCGGCAGGAGGCGCGGTATCTGAGGCAGGAGCCGAGGCAGCAGGTTCGGCAGCGAGGTCAGCGAGAGGGTTGGGGGCAGGAACGGGTGGTGGTGCAGGGAAGGGAGTGGGTGCGAGCACAGATGCAGAGGTGCTGGCGCTGACAGCTGCTGTAGCAGCACGAGCAGCAGGGACAGGCAGCAGCGGTGGTGCTAATGCTGCTGGGAATGGTGCTGGTGGCGGTACCGGTGTTTCTGTTGGGGGTGGTGCTGGTGGTGGTGCCGCTGGTGCTGCTGGGGGTGGTGGTGGTGCGGGTGGTGGTGGTGGTGGAATGAGCAATGGAGGGGGTCAAGCTGCCATGTGGGCTGGTCGGATGGCAGGGGGGGGCATGCCTGGTGGCATGGCAGTTGGCATGGCAGGAGGCAGCATGGCACCTGCAATGAGAGGCTTGCCGGGAGGCGGTATGATGGCACGGCCAGGCGGCATGGTGATGATGGGTGGCCATGAACCGGGGCAAGGCATGGCTGGTGGTATGGGCGGTGGCATGTTGGGTGCAGGCATGGGGAGTGCAGGGATGGCGGGTATGGGAATAGGAGCAGGCATGGGAGGAAACATTGCTACTGCAGGCTTGGGAGTGCATGCGCGGCCAGGTATGGGTCTAGGTCCGGGATCTGCAGGCATGGGTTTACGCCCGGGGGCTGCAGGGATGGGAGGTGCAGGCATGGGTGCTGCTGGTATTGGAGCAACAGGTGTGAGGGGAGTTGCAAGCGCAGGTGCCATGGGCATGGGTGCCGCACGTCCTGGCATGGCTATGTCTATGGGTATGAACATGGGCATGGGCATGGGGATGGATCCGAGTATGGGTGTGAACATGATGGGTCCTGGTATGGGCATGGGCATGAACATGGGTGGGATGCCCATGGGCTTTGGAGACATGGGCATGGGCATGCGGCCAGGGATGGGGGTGACTGGCATGAGTGGAGGAGGCATGGGAATGGGTGGTGTAGGGTCGGGTGGCATGGGTATGCATGGCATGGGTGGTGCCGGTGCAGGCATGGGGAACTACAGTGCTAGTGCAATGGACATGGAAGGCATGATGGATCTTCCTATGCCTGTGGGCATGAGTGGGGCTTCTTCAGAGCATTTTTATGTGCCAGGAATGCTGCCTGGAATGTTCAAGTTTTCGGGGTTCTCTGGTGCTGTGATTCAAGGAGCAGGAACTGGTGGTGTTGGTGCTCCGTCTGTTCAATTCGGAGGGCTTACAAATGGAATTGCGTCAAGAAGATGACAGTTCCTCTGCTGGTGATTTTTGTATTGGGGGGTTTATACAGTTCCGAATCAGCCTTCTGCGTTCTTAATCCACATAATGAAGTGTTTTTGCTCATATATCTTATACCTAACAAATTGAACATGGTTTAGAGCGGTTCATGGGGCTCACCACAGCCATCACAGGAGGAACTTTGTTTGCGGCGGGTTTTCCAGGTTGGTGTCCTTTTCACCTTGTCCCAGATGTCGCCGCCAATGGGTCGTTCAGGTGTTTTCGCAGCTGGCGAGAGAGGGCATGTGCCTGCAAACTCGTGTGGAGCAATCCTGCTGGTTCGGGACCTGATTGAAGAACGAGCTGCCTCTAAGTGTAAAGTTTTGGCTTTAGAATGAATGCTGCCCTACTAGTTGACGGTGGTGTAGCATCAGCATGACGTGTACCAAGGTTTGCATCACGTGTTTTCGCCACGTTGTCCCACCAACTCCATCTCTCGCGCCACGCCACAAACTGTCGTACACATTCTTTGCAAACGTATTACGCTCGTTTACTGCCCTATCTGTCTTCGTTTATTTTTAATACAGACTAGTCCTTCAGGCGGTGTGAAGCGTCTTTCAGGAATAGCGATCGAGTTTCAACATTTTTTTCCGCCTTTCTCACTTACGATAGTATTTTATATATGAAAATATGAGCAAAGTCGGGCAATGAATCATTCGTGAGCGAAGCAGGCATCAAGTGCAAATCAGGTAGGCACAAGCGGAACAAGCGGTGGCAGCACTGTAGTGGGGTGGATCTCTCTCCGTAAGGTCCGCCAACCAGTAGACCTTCACATCCACAAATGGAATGCCACGCTGCATCATCATGGTGCTCATCGCTTACTGTTCATTGTGACCTTAATTCTGCCCGTCGGCGAGTTCTTTTTCCCGCGCGACGTCCCGAATGTTTCGGCCCTCCACACCAATCGGGAACTCGCGTCTCGCGGCTCCCACCAGACCAGAGATGCTTCGTCGTTGCTTACGTTTCCTTTCGGTCTTCCCCCACCCCGGATCTTCCCCGCCCGAGATTGCGCGACCCCGCACCACAACCACCGGGCCAGCCAGCAAGGGCCTTCATTTGTACAGTGCGCCCGCGCAGATTCTGATAAATTTTGCGCGCGCTGGGGAAAACCAGCAGGTCAGGGGAGGGGAAGAGTGGGGAGGGACCTACCGTACAACTGGCATTCTTCCGCGGGGAATGCCAGCTGCAACTCCGCTTCCGCTGCTGGCGGGGAGAAGGTTCCTCGCCCCTCCTTTTTTCTTCTCCCCAACCTCGCCTCGGTTTCTCCGCGTCATTCGCGTGACGCGCGTCTCTCCCCCTCGCCTGGAATGGATGGAAATCGCTCGACTGTGCATCCCACACCCACGCCTCCTGCGCCCAGCCTTCAGTCGTAGTGCATTTAGTTGCTTCTCTCCATGCTCATCATAAACTCTCCCGGCCCAGCACAGTCTACAGCACTTTCAATCTATCTCTACCACCCTCGCCTTTCCAGCTCAATTCTCATTCCACTCGTCATCCCACAGTGAGCGCTCTTTGCTCATCACTTGTATCATTCTGAACCCTTCCTTTCGGCTCGGCAAGCACACAGACCCTCCTGAAGTGCTCTCCTCGAGCACACACGAATTTGCTAACGTACATGCTGACACGTACTTGCTCACACGTGGTTGCTGACCTGGTTTCCGAAGATTACCCGTTGTTCAGCCTCACTTCCCTCGCCCTGATTACCCTAATCTGCTCGGCCTACTCCCGTCGCCAATCGCAGCAATAGGTTCTGTTAGGTTAGGCCAGCATGAGTGGGCGACGCAATCGGTTGTTATCGTGCCTCGCTGTAATCACATGGTGCGCGACGTTGCATCTCCGTGCGCTGCCAGCCTCGGCGGCGATCGTCGTCGTAACTCCCAAGAACGCCTCTTACGTTATCAATGACGTCGACGCCAACTTTGGTACGCCCCTCCGTTTCATCTCAACCGTTGAGCTCGTCGCATTCACCATTCGCGCTCTTATCCGGCGCACACTCACCACTGGCGCATGCACCCTCCGCGCACTCACCACTTGCGCATGCACCCTCCGCGCACTCATCCGCCTCGCACTCACCGCATGAAACGCGGCACGCCTTGCACCTTCCGGGATTGCGCGTCACTATCCGCGTTCTTCACCCGCTCTTTGCCTGCGAACGCTAAACACAGCGAGCACTCGCAGCGCAGCGTAGTGGGCCAAGCCGTGACGCGGCGGCCACAGCTGCAACGGCGCTGGTATAAGCATCCATGCTGCGACCGTCGAATATAGTACTCTCGTAACAACCGACGGACTGACGAGATCCGGGGGACAGAGGGGTTTTCCTTCTGTTTTTTTCCCTTCCGCGCGCTTTCCCCCTTCATTTCCGACTTATCTCCAATCTTTCTCCCATTACCCCTTTCCCCCCATCCCCCGATGTCTCTTCCTCCTTCCCCGCTCTCCCCCGCGCTCCGTCCCCAGGCGGTATCATCCCCTCGAGCGGCATTCGCGGCGTTCTGCGCCGAGCGGAGCCGCTCGACGCGTGTCAGCCGCTCACGTCCCGCGCAAAGCGCTCCGAGCGGGCCTTCGCGCTGATCACACGTGGCAACTGCCTATTCGACACCAAGGTTCTGAACGCGCAAGTGGCGGGGTATGCGGCCGCGATAGTGTTCAATAACGAGGACAACGACGAGCTTATATCGAGTGAGTGCAGCACAATAATGATGTTGAAATCACTGTTGGGAATTCTCAAAAGTGATTCAAACAATTGCCTGCTCTCCCATGGAATACACAGCGCTCCCCTCTCTTCCCGCTTCCCCACGACCAGGCGCAAAACTAGAAACTCGACGCTATGGTCCCGCCCCCCTTAGATCTCTTCCCCTTATCAAATCGACGTTGCGGTCCCGCTCTATAAGCGTCTCAAACTAATCCCGTCCGCCTCGTGGTTTCCACCTCCCCCGTCTCCCACCCCTCTCTCCCCCTCTCCCCCCTTCGCTCCCCGCAGTGTCGGCGCGCAACGTGTGGGACGTGGCGATCCCCGCGGTCTACATCTCCCACGCGGACGGCCATTTGCTACTCTCGCTCCTCGCCGCGCAACCCGCGTCGCTCCTCATCCTCCTCCCCACCCTCTCCGGCTCGCTCCTCCCGCTGCTCGCCGCGGCGCTCCTCGCGCTGCTCACGCTCTCCGTCTTCCTCTCCGCGTTTCTCATAATTATGCGCCAGCAGCGGATACGGCGCGCGCTCGAGGAGGCCCGGAGGGGCGGCGCATGGGGGGCGGGGGGGCCGGAAGCGGAAGCCGTCGGGGGGATGGGGGAGGAGGGGCTGGTGGTGATGCGCGCGCTGCTGCTTCCGCCGCCGCGGCCGCTTGATATCGGCTTATCAGCTGCGGAGCTGAAAGCGCTTCCAGAAATAACATACTCGCCTTCTATGGAGGATCTCGCGGAAGCTTGTAAAGGGGATACTGGAGTGGAGGAAGGGGAGGATGCGGATGAGTTGGGAGATGTGGAGGAGGGGAGGGTGCAGGGGAGCAGTGAGCAGGGAGAGGAGGGAAAGGAGGCGGGAAATGAGGCGGGGAGGAGGAGGAGGAGAGGGTGGAGCAGGGCGCTAGAGACGTGCGCCATCTGCCTGGACGATTACCAATCCGGGGACCGCCTCAGAGTGCTGCCCTGCGGTCATGGTAAGCTTGCCCTTTCCCAACTCTTCCCAACCCTTCCCCACCCCCTCCTTTCCAACCCCCACTTAACCAACCCGCATACTCCCAACCCTCCCTCCCTGTACGCGAGGGACCGCCTGAGAGTGCTGCCCTGCGGTCATGGCAAGCTTGCCCTGTCCCCCCTTCCCTCCCGCATATTCTCAACCCCTCATCCCCATGCGCGAGGGTACCTTAACCTCACCATGCCTTTCATCCCCCCTCACCCCACTCCTTTCCTCCCTTCCCTCCTCTCCCCTCCCCTCCCCTCCCCTCCGCTCCCCTCAGCTCCGCTCCTTTCCCCTCTCTTCCCCCTCCCAAACTATGTCCATTCCGCAGTCCCACTCTCTCCTGTCCTCAGTAGTCTCCCATATCCCCCACCGCACCTGCCTCTCCCGTCTCTTCACTCGATCCCCTCGAAATGGCCCATTTTACACTCCAAACCCTCACTCCTCTCCCATCTCACCTCAGCACTCTCCCCTCTCCCCTCTCCCTCCTCTCCGCCGCTCATCACCGGCAGAGTTGCACGCTGACTGTGTGGGCGAAATGGGTTTGGAGTCAGCTCACCCCCCTCATTCCCTTCTTCCCCTTCCTCTGCTTGCCATCCCACAGAGTTCCATGCAGAGTGTGTGGACGAGTGGCGAGTGACGAGTGGCTTTTTCAGTAAACTCACCTCGCTCCTTTCCATTCCTACTTTCCCTTGCTCTGTTCCACAGAGTTCCATGCAGAGTGTGTGGACGAGTGGCTAACCACCAAGCAGCCCCTCTGCCCCATCTGCAAGGGTGACGCGCACGCACCCTCCACCTCCCCTCCTGACAACTGCAGCAGCAGCAGCAGCAGCAGCAGCAGCAGCAGCAGCACTGCTGGCACCAACAATGCCGCGCACCCCTCTGTTCCTGCGCCTCCTTCGCTGAGCCAACTCCTCTCCTCATCCTCCTCCCCCTCTTCCTCAAGATCAGAGACCTCCTCGCCCTCCTCTCGTTCCTCCTCCCCTCACGCACAATCCCACCCATCCACCTCTTCGCTGCTTCTCACCTCTTTGCTTCCCAACCTACCTTGGCTAAGGCACCCTGCCAGCTCCCGAGCCTCCTCGCCTGCACTGGCCGTACCTAGCCCATCCGCTGCCGAGCCTGGAGCTAGTGACATCCGGCGGCCGTTCCTCCGGCCCCCTAGCCCGGCTGCTTCTCCTACCTCTCCCGCCCTTTCGGCTGCTGACTCAGCACCTGTGCATGCTGTGCTGTCACACCAAACAGATTTGACGAGCATCGGGTGATGATGCATCGCACACCACAGCCATCCGTGTGACCAGTAATGCAATCATGCGGTGAAATGCTGCTGCTGACTGCAGCCGGCCAAAGTAACATTGACTGGAAGCATCTACCTGGCATCTGCACTAACAAGGCACATGGTTACCGAGCCTTGTGAGAAATACAGCCACCAAACCAACCTGTTGGCTGCCTGTAGCTAGGTGACTTTTGAGTCGACTCAACATGTGTCATGCCGTGTGCCATTGTAACGAGGTGGCTTTTGAGTCGACTACCGTAACAAGCCACATGGTTACTGTATTTCTGAGCCTTGTGCGGAATACAGCCACTGACCTGTTGGCAGCTTGTAGCTCCAGCATTATGAGATGCATTTCACTCTAACTTGTCCTGTACAAAGGATTGTCTGGCAAGTGTACAAGCAATATTACAGAATTGCAGCTCGCAGGTCGGAGCTGGATGGGACACTGGCTAGCTATGAACACGCAGGTCGTCCGTCCATCCACTTGCTGGATAAATATCACGTAAACCAAGGTACCATAAAGGCGAAACAAAAGCTCCCTCCAATGCCGTTTTATGTTTCATCACTCACACAGCCGGTGTCTGTGACCAGACCACCCCCTTCCTGGTCCTGGGCCATGTGGAATGAGGTGGCCAAGCTCTTTGCCTCTGCTATAGCCTACCGGTAGTCCAATGTGCTCTTCTGATGCCTGGTGGTATTGGGCGTGACTTTTGAGGCGCCTCAAAAGAGGCCAAGCTCTTTGCCTCTGCAGTAGTCTAATACCGTATGCTCTTTTGATGCCTGGTGGTATCGGGTGTGAATCACGCTTGCAGTGTCTTCACTTATGTTTTTTTTATCATGCTGATGGTTGCTTTTTAGTTCCCCGGTACGGCGATGATGCTGCGTGCTGGTCAGAAAGACGCGGGTGGGTTATTCGTGCTGGTCATTGGCATCTAACACGCCTAAACTTTTCCGATTGCACTGGTAGATGTTTAATAAGCATGAGTTGCCCAAAAAGTTGCCCTGAATCCGCCAAATTTGACCCATTCTGCGAGTCAACTCTAGAAGTCGTGCATGTCGGCACTGACCGACACACGTTCAAGCAACCTGCCCCCTTCAACAGCACTTGACAGCTGACTGTTACTGGTGTAGTAGCGTACCTGCTTAGCCTACCAGCTACTTCACTAGCTACTCTAACTACTCTAACTCTATTAAACCCTAAGAGCCACGCTTCTTAGAAGATGATTACCACCGGCGCCTTTGGCCCATCCGTCTCTTCCCCATCCGAGTCTTCCCCAACCCCCTCTTCCCCAACCCCCTCTTCCACACCCGTCTCTTCCCCACCCACCTCTTCCCCACCCGTCTCTTCCCCACCCGTCTCTTCCCCACCCGCCTCTTCCCCACCCGCCTCTTCCCCACCCGCCTCTTCCCCACCCGTCTCTTCCCCACCCGCCTCTTGCCCCTCCGCCTCTTGCCCCTGCGTCTGCTGCCCCTGCGCCTGCTGTCCCGCCGTCTCTTCCCCCGCCATCTCTTGCCCATCCGTCTCTTGCCCATCCGTCTCTTGCCCTTCCGTCTCTTGCCCCTCCGTCTCTTGCCCCTCCCCCTATTGCCCCTGCGTCTGTTGCCCCTCCCCCTCTTGCCCCTGCGTCTGTTGCCCCTCCCCCTCTTGCCCCTGCGTCTGTTGCCCCTCCCCCTCTTGCCCCTGCGTCTCTTCCCCGTTCCCCTGTTGATCCTCCCCCTGTTGATCCTCCCCCTGTTGATCCTCCCCCTGTTGATCCTCCCCCTCTTGCCCCTGCGTCTCTTGCCCCTCCCCCTCTTGCCCCTGCGTCTCTTGCCCCTCCGTCTCTTGCCCTTCCGTCTCTTGCCCCTCCGTCTCTTGCCCCTCCCCCTCTTGCCCCTGCGTCTGTTGCCCCTCCCCCTCTTGCCCCTGCGTCTGTTGCCCCTCCCCCTCTTGCCCCTGCGTCTCTTCCCCGTTCCCCTGTTGATCCTCCCCCTGTTGCCCCTCCCCCTCTTGCCCCTGCGTCTCTTGCCCCTCCCCCTCTTGCCCCTCCGTCTCTTGCCCCTGCTTCTCTTCCCCGTTCCCCTGTTGATCCTCCCCCTCTTGATCCCCCCCCTCTTGATCCTCCCCCTGTTGATTCTCCCCCTGTTGATCCTCCCCCTCTTGCCCCTGCGTCTCTTGCCCCTCCCCCTCTTGCCCCTGCGTCTCTTGCCCCTCCGCCTCTTGCCCCTGCGCCTGCTGCTCCTGCAACTGCCGCATGTGGGGCTGCTGGTGTAGCCGGTACTGGAGACGTCTCCTCAGCGCATCACGCTGGAACACAGGAAGCGCCTCCCGCAACTCCCTCTCTTTGCCGCTGCCGCCGCCGCCGCCGCCGCCGCTGCTGCCGCCGTTGCCGCCGCTGCTGCTGCTTGCTGCGTTCAGGCCGTTGATCGCGTTGAACGTGTCCACGTGGGCGTCCATCAGCCGTTCGTACTCGCCCCGCTCGGCGCGCTGCAGAATGGCCGTCAGCTCGGCGACGATGTCGACGCTGCTGGGAAGGTTCGTCTGGTCCGGCGAGTCAACGGCAGTGTCCTTGTAGACGTAGTGGTTGTTGACTCCGTTGACCACGGACCGAAGATCTTCCACGTCGCTCTTCCTGCTCAAAGTCAAAGAGAGTAATTACGCGAAAACCTTGCTAATGGAGCTGGTAAATGGTTTCCAGAAGGTCACAGCCTCTCGTTAACGCGGCGCGTTACCTGATTTTGAGGTTTCGCAAGCAGTCGCGAACTGTAGAGGGCTTCGCAACGTCCCAGCTCGCTGCATTCGCGGCGATTTTCTGACTCCACAGCGCGCACGGGTCCGCTGCACCGCTCTGCATCACACTCGCTGCCTCTGGACCGCTCGTTCCCGATCCAACGGCAACATTACTAGCAGCTCCAGCTAGGGAAGCTTCGCTAGCAGCACTGACAGGGGCTGCTACGGAATCGTCTACGAGAAGTCGACGGGCGAAGGCAGGTTGGGAATGAATCGAGAGCAGAACGACAGCGAGCAGGCCTATCACCCGCGCGAGACATGCCTGTGAGCCCATGGCTTGGGCCACAAAGGTACGACTCTAACAGGCAGGAAGCGGTCTGATGGTGTTCGTTGCTGAAGTTGTGAGGTGCACGCCGGTGGCGAGTGAATCAGCTTCGCTCGCCGTTGCACCTCCACAAACAAAAACTGCCGCTGCGTTCCACGATATATTGCTGCTTGCGTTGCGAGCTCGCGGTAGGACATTACCGCCGGAAGCGGCATGTTGCACCAACGTTTCGCTCACGGCGCGCTTTGACGAGCCCAACGTTGAGTACGAGCCACGCTAGTCCAATTCGCACCGCGCATTCGGAGAAAAGAGATATTTCTGATATAGCAAAACACCAAAAGCACACGATCCGACCGAATGTACCAGGCACGACCGATCGTGCCTTTGCGACGCGGAGATGAGCGGTATATGGCTGCGGGCGGGGTCGGCTGTCTGTGAATTGAACTGTAACTAGAGATGCGCTAACACCACACCACACGTGCACAGATGGCTGCGAGAGGAGTCGGCGTGCGGGACGAAAGCGATACGTGCACGGTGCACCCGACTACAACGATGCCTGCCCCACTCCACAAATCAGCCAGCTCAGCTGACGGCGAGTGATATCTGGACTGGGGTGGCGAAAGTGACCCACACCACATCACCTCGCCGCCGCGACGGATGGACGGATGCAGGACTCTTATGTCGATGTGTTTACAGTAGTTTGATATGGGATGCGACACCCTGCCAGATGAAGTAAGTGCACACGTGCGCAGCGCACCACCGATGCGCAAGAAACTAGCGTAGTGCGCATCCGCACTATCGAGAGGCTGGCCCTAGAGATTTACGTGAACCTCTGACATCATCGTGGGTTCAGTTCAGTTCAGTTCAGCGTAAAGGCGGGATGGCGATGATGCCTAGCCTTGGCCCACGAATTTGCCTACCCAATTCGCTTTGCCCGTCCCACGTGCAACTCAGCACGGGCAATACCCCAATAAGCTTACAGTTCATTTTTTAAATCGTAGCCGTTGATCACACACCTTTTCAAGCTGCCATCCGTCTGTTCATAAGATATTTGAAAGTGTTACCACTTGAAGCAGGAAAAGTAAAAAATCACCTGGTATTTTTGCCGTGGCGAATTTGGCGACGTGGGCAGAAACCCTGCGCTCATTTCGAAAGGGCCCCATTTCGCGATTCTAGATCTGGATTTGGCTGCCATTGATGATTTAGCCCTATAAGGAAAATTCCTTTTCCTTACTTCGCGTCCCTGCTCAGCGCGTACACCACTGTTCCCGCCAACAGCACCCAACAGTAATCCGTTACCACTTGCGACACTCGCTTCGACACTGTTCCCGCCACTGTTCACGACGCGACCCAACCTCACGGTCCGGTTGGTAACCCGCGCTCCGGACCTCCGCCTCGACACTTCCCAACCTCGGCGCCAGGCCCGTCGCGCACCCCAATTTCTACGCATTACCGTTACCACTGTAGCTTCGCTATATATTCTTCGCTCATGCCTTCGCTCATTGTACTTTTGCTTCGATAGTGCAATTCTCGCTCGCTCACTCAATTGCACTCGTAACACTTGGTATTCAGAGCCTACGATCTCTTCTCGGACCGCCCCCACACCTTCGCTTCCCCACTATCTCACTTTTTGGGGGGGGTGTAGACGTCTCTCAGCGACACAGCACCGCCGCTCGTAGTGCTCTCTCGTAAGCACACACGGCCACGACCGAGGCTCTCGCTGAGCTTGCCCGACACCCCCACCATGGCCGAATTCAATCTCGCGACCTTGACGCAGGAGCAGCTCGACCGTCTGGTGCGCCAAGTTGAAGAATCGGCACTCGAAATTGCGACGCTCACGGCGGAACGTGACTCCGCGCGTCAGCAATCAACGGTGAACACTCCAGCACCACCACACGCACCGACAAATGCATCTGCACAATCGGACGAACCGATCGTCATATCGTCCGGCACACCAACACACAACAACAGCATGGGACAGCGCTCAGGCGCAGCCAGTGATGGCACTACCCAGCCGATGCCTGGCATGGGAGGAAACAGGGTCGCGCCAAGCCCGCGGGAGCCTCGCGAAGCCCGTCGGCACGTGGAGTTGGCGGCGACAAGTGGCGAACATGCCATTATGGCACCAATGCCACTCAAACCGCAACGCCCGCCCTGCTTCGACCCGAGCCAGCGTGGAGGTCCGACGGTTCAATCGTGGGTCTTCACGATGAACGTCTTCTTCGACGCGAATTACGTCGAGTCGGACGCAGCGAAGATTCGGTATGCCGTTTCGCTGCTAAGGGGCCCCGCCATGGACTGGTGGCGAGTCATCGTGACGTTGCCACGCGCCTACGAGCCACCGTCGCAAGAGGAAGGGCCCACGGGTCCAGCTGTCACCTGGAGTTCATTCTGCGAGACCGCCCAATACAGCACGTGGGTGTGAATCAAGAAAACAGGAATGAAATGACTAAGTGAAAGTTGGGTACAAAAGGCAAACCCTAGGCAACTGTACCCCATATGTGCTACCCCACTATAGCCTACAGTAGCTATGTCATATAACTCTGACACACCCCCATAGGCAAAGTGGGGGAGAACAAGGGGTCACAAGACCAGTCAAGCAAAGCAAAGCAAGCTCAGGGTGGATCACAAAGTCACCACACATTCCGAGCACAAGTTCAAGGCCACAAGGCCAGTTCACATGCAGGATTACATATATATATATATAAGGCTAGACAAGCAAGAGCAGGAGTATATATATATGCAACAGTACAAACAAGGTCAAGAGGTGAGCAAGTGAGGCAAGGTAGGTACAAGACCCAGCTGAGTACAGAAGCGCTGATGATCACAAGGCGCAAGTGCCTTGGTGAAGATATCAGCAGTGTTGGCCTCAGAGGCCACGTACGCAAGTCGCAGCTGACCACGCTGCTGTAGCTCACGAGCAAGGAAGTAGCGAAGAGCAATGTGCTTCGTTCTGTGCTCAAGTCTCTGCTCTCGACACAAGGCCAGCATGGCCTTGTTGTCTACGTAGAGCACTGGAGGAGAACGAGGCGGCTCTCCGAGGTCAGTCAGCAGGTAGGTGAGCCAGCGAAGCTCCTGTGCAGCCATGGCCCCGGCGTAGATCTCAGCCTCACAACTGGAGCCGAGAACAGAAGACGAGCGAGTAGCCCGCCACGAAACAGAGCCGGAACCAAGGCTGAAGGTGTAACCCTGTGACGACCGCTGCGTAGCCTGGTCGTCAGCCCAAGAAGCGTCTGCGTGTCCAGTGAGGACCACTGGACTCTGCCCTCCAAGCACAAGCCCCATGCCCGACGTACTGCACAAGTAGCGCAACACCCTCTTCGCTGCAGCCATGTGCTCCGGTCTGTGTCTCCCAGGAGCAACATAGCGTGCAAGAATGCTAAGAGAGTATGCAAGGTCAGGTCGTGTGCAGGTCATCAGGTACATGAGGCAGCCAACAAGCTCTGGGTACGGGCCACTCGACTCTACGGACTCATCCGAAGGCAGAGCTGAGAGCGAGTGGCGAGTAGGCAGAGGAGTGGCCTGAGGCGAGGAGTACGTGAAGCCGAAGCGCTGAAGGACCTGCTGCACCATGTGTGACTGAGTCAGGGTAATGGTGCGGCGTGCTCTGTCCCGGGTGATCTGCAAGCCAAGGTAGCTGCGCAGTTCACCCAGGTCTGTGCACGTGTGTCTCTTCTGCAACTCGGACTTCACGTGGGCGAGTCCAGCAGTGTCAGCTGTGGCAAAGACCAAGTCGTCGACGTACACGAGGATGTAGAACGGCTGCAAAGAAGTGTCGGTGCGCAGAAACAGCGACGGGTCGGCAGTAGAGGGAGCAAACCCAAGAGCCGCAAGTGTAGTCCTCAGTGTGTCGTGCCACTCACGCGGTGCCTGGCGGAGACCGTAGACTGGCCGCCGGAGGCTCCACTGGGTGCCAGGAGGAAAAGACCCAGCGAAGCCAGGTGGGCGACGCAGCCAGATCTCCTCGTGCAGGCTGCCCTGCAAGAAAGCAGTGCTGAAGTCAAGAGAGTGCAGCTCGTAGTCGCGGTGAGCAGCTATGTGCAGCAGTACCCGAAGAGTGGTCATCTTCGGGGTGGGAGAGAAGGTCTGAAAGTAGTCAACTCCCTGCCGCTGACTGAAACCACGAGCCACGTAACGCGCCTTGAAGACAGGCGGAGAACCCGGCGGCCGCTTCACCCTGAAAATCCACATGCCACTGACGATGTTCGCCCCAGGCGGGGGAACCTCGTCAACGTAGGTGCCTGTGGACTTCCAGGAAGCCATCTCTGCGTCCATAGCTGCCTGCCACTGAGAGGAGTAGGGACCCTCTATCGCCTCCGCGTAAGAGCGCGGAGTCGGGATGTCAAGTGCATCCGGGTCTCCCTCAGGGGTAAGCAGTACGGACACGAGATGAGGTGAAGCAGCAGCCAAACACTGGAACTCCTCCTGCCTGTCCTCAAGGACGTCCGTGCCAAGGGCACACTCACCCCCGACGGACGGAGGACAGACAGACTCAGACTCAGCAACAAGACTAGCAGCGTAGTCTAGACGACAGCGAGCAGCAAAGTCGACGAGCTCAGTAACTAGGGCAGACGCAGCAGTGGACTCAAAGGAAGGGTCAGTGACAACAGTAGCAAGGAGACGCGTGACAGTAGGACTGGCAGCACGAAGAGAGTCCGACTCCGGGTCAGGAAGAGCAGGAAGAGAGGACTCAGGAGGAGAAGGCAAAGGGGCACGCAGAGGAGCAGTGGACGGACGCAGAGACATCCGGTGCGTGCCAGGGACAGGAGGAGGACGCTGACGCGAACCACGAGCACTAGTGCGAGCAGCACGGACAGGCAACGCAGGGCGAGACGCAGGCTCACGACGCTCAGCAAGACCTCCAGTAGGACCAGTGTAGGGAGAAGGAGCGGGCAGTGGGGAGGCCGGCTGTAACTGTAACTGTGACGGGACAGGCTGTGGACACGCTAAGGGAGGAGGAGGACCAGTAGAAGGCGGGAGACCAAGAACCTGCTGAAGGAGCGGAACGA